CTGGGAATGCCGTTTCTAACTATAGTGTAGATAAAGCTGTTTAGTATATAACGAATTAGTTGAGTTTTTAACCTAATGCAGTTTGCTTCTTCAGGCCTTCCTGTCATCACTTCAGTGACGTCATCACCTCACGTGGCAGTGGAAGACTCATCAGACATTTTACATGTGGATCTGAAGAATGACGAAGACCTCACATCAATTGACTGGTATTATAATGGAAAACTGATTGAAATTGAAGATAAGCATTATTCATTTCCAGGTAAGCTTGTCTAGGTTTTGATGTCAGGTATTGACCATACAGGAAGAAAAGTTTAGAACTATTAAACTATAGAGACGTCCAGTATGCAGGGCTTTCAGAATTATTCAGAGTAGGTGTCTGTTTTGATAAAGTAGGCGGCTGTTTTGATAAAGTAGGCGGCTGTAGGGTGGGGACGGTCTAGTTAGGTCCAAATTAATTAGGTACATTGATTAGATAGCAACACAACACAAATTATGATGTATCACTACTTTAATTTGTCAACTAGATTTATTGTCGATTTCAAGTCAAGTTTTTACAAAATAGTACGTCGTTTTGTGTAAAATAACCAGGCTATAAAGTATAGACTATATAAGTTGAGGAAAAAGAACTTTGTTTGAAAGCTTAGAATGGAGGAAGGAGAGCAGAATTGATGTTTCAAGTACTAAACAAAGTAACCGGCGGTAAACCTTGTGCCACCCGCTGGAGCTCCGGCGGCCGCCGGGTTATTTTGAAAGCCCTGGTATGAATAAAGTTAGTTTAGTTTAGATTTCCTCCTGTAAGACCTCTCAGGAGAACAGCTAGTTTATAACTGATAGAGCCATGCTTCCATCATGAATAAAGTTTGTTTACTATAGTAATACTGAACCAATAACATGTGACTCTTACTAGATCTCTTGTTAATTAAAATATGTATCCCTCTAGGATCTCTTCCCGGAAGACCAGACAGCAGGAAAATCTTGAAAATGAGCAACCTGCATCTTGGAATGAGCGGAGTTTACAAAGTCGTGACAAAAGCACAATTCTGTGAATTTCCTAAGGAGATACTTGTCGATGTTTATGGTAAGTTTTTTGTTGAAGTTTTGAATCCAAATATTCATTTATTTTTATGAAAAAATAAAAACAGTATCTACCTTTAATTTGTTCTCTAATAATGTCTTAATTGTCATATTTTTTAATTTTGTAGTTCGTCCGAAAATGATTGTCATACCAAATGTTCGTACTTTGTATCAAATTGCTGGAGGAAATACAACAATTATCAAAGTTATTATTGCTGGTGGTGTCCCTATGCCTCAGGTAATTGTTTAACCCCTTAAGTGGCAATGCGCCGCACTGTGCTCTTACTATGCTCTTATTTACCCGTATCTCCAGTATTGTATAATAATTTTGGGATCCACGTATCCATCGTGTTTACATCGAATTCATCTTTTACAAAAGCGTGTCATTAGAATCATCAACAGGGAAGTATATGATGCACATACCGATGCTATTTTTAGGAATCTAAATATCTTAAAACTGAATAATATTTACCTATTTCAATTAGGAATCTTTATGTACAAATGTGAGAACAATTTACTGGCTGTGAATTTAGCCAGTTCATTTATAAAAACTAATCAAGTTCACAATTATAATACTCGGGCCTCCATCTTATTTTATGTTCCAAGTTGTCGAACTAATATTAGAAAATTTTCCGCAAATTATCAGGGTCCTTGTTTTTATAACTCTCTGGATGCTGGTATATGTGATGTTGCATCAGAGTGATTGGGATGATTGTAAAGTTAATTAATAATAAAAAAAAATTTAAATTTTTTTAAAAAAAGTAGAAAATAATTTATATTATATATTATTGGTATATTATTGGAATTAGTATATATTATTGGAATTAGTATCATATATTATAACAGCTCAGATCATGTTTCAATTATTCATCTAGAGAGAGCATCTCGTTTGGTACAAAGGCTCAAAACCTTTGCAAGTCACAAGAAATGGCCGGGTTAAGATACAAAATGACGAATGGCTAGAGAAAACTGATCATTCCAAGGATGACATTACTCAAAGCAAACCAAAACGTATTGGTTGGAATTCTACGTTGAGTATCACTTCACCTCATGTGACAGATTCTGGCAAATATTTTTTTATGGTTTCTTTTCCAAAGACCAACTACACTGTGGAACGGATTATCAAAGTTACAAAGCTATAACTTCAAGTAAGATCTATTTTGTCTTTCTCAAGTGTAACAGTCAACCATTTGAAAAATTTAATTGTTGTCCCCCCTTGTACTTGCATTTGGCTAAAAATTTTAAATTTCTCAAAACATGTTTCTATCAGTTAAAAGCAATTGTTTTCACAAAGTTTTGAGTAAGTTGGGATACTTTTTGAATTTTTGAAAAATGTCCTGTGGTCTCCCCTTTGCTAAGCCTAGGGTACCTGTGGTCCCCCCTCTGCATTTTACCAAAAATTTTTAAAACATGTTTTTATCAATCGAAAGTAATTGTTTTGATGACAGGAAAGGTTTTCGACAATTTTCAGAAAGTTTGGACTAGTTTGAGGTGGTTTTTCAATGTTTTTGAAAAATTTCCTGTGATCCCCCTTTGCTAAGCCTAGGGTACCTTGTTTTTATTGATCGAAAGTAATTGTTTTGATGAGAGGAAAGGTTTTTGACAATTTTCAGAAAGTTTCGAGTAAGTTGGGAGTAATTTTTGAATTTTTAAAAAAAATAATTGTGGTCTCCCCTTTGTTGACCCAGGGTTGCCTGTGGTCCCCCCCCCCCCACACATGGTGCAAGGAGGGACCATAGGGATACATGCCGGTAGTCTTCCCCTGCTATGGTTTTCGACTTATTCCAATTGTAACTCAATTGTATCTCATTTCTTTCTATTTCAGAACTTCGAATGAGAGGAGCCGAGGATGGACTTTTGTTGGGTATAATGTATTTTTGTTATTCATGGTAGTATAAAATTTGTATATAAAAGTATAATATTCATTAAGTAGTGAACTATAATATAATCATTCCTTTGGTTATAATGTCTTATTTTTGTACAAAATCTCTTAAACGAAAGTAGAGTTTAGGACTTCTACCTATAAACTAGAACTGCTACAATGGAGAGTTGAATAAATATTTCTAAAGACTCAAATGTGTGAATCATGAGAATCATTGTGTTTAGTTTTGTGATGGTGTGTTTTACATAGTTTGCTGCATGTACTTTCTTCTGCTATTAATTTTTTTATAAAGTTTAGTTTTTCCTTGTCATCCTCACTGAACCTGGAGAGAACACTCTGTGATGGCTCTTCAAGCAAACTAAATTCTGTCTAAAGAAAAAGGAATATTCAGTACCAAAATCCATAAGGTATGTCATAGACGTAGAGATTTTCAGGTTTTGCTCTGGGGGTGCCAAAAATTCAGGGGGTGAGTCAGGGGGCACATAGCGCCACTGCGCAAGATGCAGCAGGGGTCCGGGGGCAAGATTGGGGTAAGGGGGTGAAGCCCTAAAAAACTTTGAGATTTTTGGTCTTACTTAGTTCTCAAAATCCTTGTTTCAATCACAGTACTGTCATTTAATCCAATGAGCATTTAAATTTCTGGGGGGAGGGGTGTTGCAAATTTCTGTCAGTGGGGTGGAAAAACTCTGAAGGGGTGCAAAATATATATATTTGGGGGGGGGGGGGG